TTTATTTTTTTACAAAAAAAACCCACAAAAAATAATATGCTTATTGCTGGCGCAATATGAACATGACACTCGGATGAAAACACCTGTTCTGACCTCACTGAAGTGCGCCTGTAGTTTTCCACCTCAAGAGTGGATACTGGTCGGCTCGTAGTGGTGTCTCATTCTGGTAACGTTTCATCTCAGGCAGGGAGGCAGCAGGCGCAACACTCTCCCTGTATGTCTCCCCGAACAGGTCACACATGGCGGACAGTGCAGTGGGTGGTGTTGGCGCAGCGGGATCCTCCGTCAGCGCCTCTCCCTCCGTCCCTGCGTCCCTCTCTGGCCCGGCTTGTGCGCGAGCCATCTCCGCCCGAACGGGATTCGCCGTGATATACAACATTATTAACAGTATCAATTAAATATTAATGATATTCAAATCATCAAATTTAGGTTCAAACTTATAAAAAAAATATATATTTGAATATATTTCAAACTTCAAATTTTTTTGACAGCCCTACTGGTAAGAAGGAGAAACACACCTACTTTTTAACATTATGAAAGCCTTGGATATCAACAGGTTTTTGGGATATGTGCTATTGCTTTAAGGTGGTTAAAGCAATAGCCCTTTTTACACAGAAATGACACTACAGGGCTACTTATTAAGTCCCTTCTTTACACTGCATTTGCATTTTTACACAAAAAAAAACAAAAACAATGGTGGCATCATACTACTCCAGTGTGTGATTTTAGACAGCATTTTGGCATCGCAGAAGCAACAGACACATGACAGGCATGACATGTAACACAACAGCATCAGCCTCTTGTGTGATATATAACATATGGGTCGGCAACACTTTATGAACAATAACAATGGCATTAACGGGACAATAAAAATCATTTACTGTCTGTTATGTGGCAGCTAATCTCGTCCTGTGCTCAGAAGGTAAGGAGATCCCAAATCTCATTGTTTTCTCAATTTGTGGACATTTACGGCCACTGTTCTTCTTCCTTGAGACAGCTCGCACATGTCATCAAAACGTCCCACCTGTACCACTCGTGATCCCGTCCTGCTGGCTGTCCCTTTAATACAGAAGTCGTTTTGGCACTGTTACTACCTCTGATGCTAGCTTAAAGGCAAGACAACTCTGTGTCCCCATTCCGCGATTTAAAGGGCCAGTGTGTAAAATGGGTTGAAAACAGTGACATCAGTGGTCAAATTCTAGATTGCAGGGCTCACTCACTCACCCCTCCCGTCGGGCAAATGACGGTGGCCTTGTAGGGACAAAAAGCCTTGCGCAGACACCAGTTTTTCAGGAGTAGGTCTATCTAGCGACGAGGAGAATGTTTATTTAGAAATCCAAGCCATGTTACGATATTGTAATGAATCCCTCATGAGCAGGAGACCAGAGGAACGTTCGGGAAAAAGGCCCCGTTTATTTGAGCACTCCAGAAACTCCGGTAACACTCCAGGGGGTAAAAGACTCCGTCCCAAACTCTGACTCTTCTAGCATAACAGACACACTCCATAACGTTACACAAATTACTCGTTTACCATACTGAGTGGGGACCCCCCTCCCCTCTCTGCTCAATCTCCAGCCCGCACACTGACAGCGTAGCCTGTAAACAGAGCTCAGCTGTTTATTTAGCCTAGCGATATCTCCGGACTATAGTAGCTGCAATGGACGACTTTGAACGCGATTTTGAAGAGTTTCTTGTAGCGGACACAGACCCAGAGCCATACCTGTTTGAGCCGGAGCATACAGATGAGGAACTCCATGTGTTTGATGCTGAGTGGGCGAGAAGAGAGGCTGAATGCACAGAATGGGATTTGGTGCTACCATCGTTGGGGAGATACATCATCAGGAGGAAAAGCGCAGCAGAGAGTGCATCACAAGGAGTAAAGTTGCGTCTTCTTTTCCTCGCAGATGACGGTTCGGGTTCATTCTCTCCTGTTGTGTGATAAGTGTGGTCCATTTGCAAACTTTATAACTAAAAAAACTTTTCACTACTCTCTATCGACGAACTACTAACACTCTCTGCTGTTTCCTCCTCCTTCTTCCTTCCTTCAGCTGTCTTCGTTGGTTTATTTATACACGCGAAATACGTTCTCTGGCTGGCTGGATTGTCCGCTCGGGCTGCCTTACATACATGGCGGCGCAAGATGGCAACCTCTCTAAAGCAAGGCCCTTGCTATATATATATATAAAAGCATAATTATAAGGCTACGAAAACCAAACAAATTTTATTTTATAGCGATTATACACTTGTGTAAACATATTAATGGGTAGAATATTCAGATTCAGATTCAGATTGACAATAAACCATGCCAAATATTACACACTGGCCCTTTAACCTTTTAAACAGAACGGTGAGGCAGAATAATGGCGTGAAATTACAGCCTTGAACAAGCAGTGTAAAAGCGGCTAATAAAAGAGGGAGGCCGTGTTGACATGGTCCAACATATCCCCCTGTAAAACTGTAAAAAAAAAATAAATAAATAAAAATTATTTTGATGCAAAGGAGCAAAATGACAAGCAGCTCCAGCAGCTCCACTTTTCTATATTTTGACATGATAAACGACATGTAGCGACAGGTTAATCAGAGCATGCAGGGCTGCATGCAAACAGGAGTATTAGTGGAATATTCACTCTCATTAGCCATGGAAACATATTGTCTTTTTTAGAATGAGTGCAAAAAAAAGAATATTTTGTATATGTAAACATGGTCAGAATGGCTTGAAAAACAATGTAGTGACAAAAAGACAGACATAATTCAGCTAGTAGTCCAAAGACTTTTACCTAAAGTAAAAGGAAAAAGCACAACTTGCTTAATTTACTGAAAACAACACATTACTTATGTTAAACCGACTGTATGTACAAGCAGATAGAATGCTGCACCCATCACAGCCTGTGCGCACCTTAAACCAGCAGCCTCATGATCTATTTTGCTTCAGATTCATGAGAGCTTGGTTGCTGGCGTGGGCCACCTCCTGCAGAGTATGGTTCTGTTGTCTGCTCATCTATCTGACTGGATTAAAGAATCACAACAGTTTTAAAGCATTTTCATTTTCTTTCTCTGTGTCACCTCCTGGGGGCCTCATGTCCCCAATCCGCCCTCCTCAGTCCTGCCTGCTGATCCTCTGATCCACCCCTGTCCACCAGGACTCACCAGACAACTTTTGCAATGCACTAGCCCCAGCCAAACGCCCTCCCTGTCATCTCTGATAAAAGAAATACTCTGCTGCAATGGGCAACAGACTGAGCACACACGCCCTCGTATATATTCTGTACATGACATCAGGTAAAAGCTATTCAGCAGAAGTGAAACATTTCTTTCCCCTTTTCTATTTCATTTCCCTCTTCACCTCTTCATCTCTTTTTGACCGCTTTCTTTTTTTTTCCCTTTCTCTTCTTTTCATTCACTCACTCACTCACTCACTCTCAGTAGTAACGTTGGACCGCTGTCTAATGTATGCTAAGCTGCTGCTGCCATGGTAACCCCAGTGCAGGATTTAGACCCAGTTCAGGAATTGGGCGGGGGGGGGGGGGGGGGGGTAACTGTAATCCCCCCCCCCCCAACCTCCAAAAAAGATAATGTACAGCAGCACACATTTTCAAAAACAGACAGATGTACACAAGTGTATAGCCAGTGTAGCCAGTGACACACACACGCACCATTAATCCAGCAATTGGAACAAACCCACATCGTGCTGCCTTTGCAATAATGTGAGGGAGAGAAGCCATTGGCTACCTGGTGGCATGGGAACAGTTGTACGTGTGGATGTATATTTGAGTGTGTTTCAGAGAAGGCTGGTGGAGTCAGATTGTGAGTGGTGACTAACAGAAATAGTAAGGAAATAACTAAATGAGTCACAGCCTTAATTTCCATCTCTGATTGTACAATGTGTCAAAGGAGATCCCTGGGACGTGTTGGAGATTAGTTATACCTCAGAGAGTGTAACAACTGTAATGTAGAGGAGATAAGTGATATCCTTACAGCACCTGATAGCTGATGCGGGAGCTGGCTGTGCACGAGGGGAAACATGGCGAGAAGCACCAACAACAAGGACTAATGGCTGTTTGTTGTGTGTGTGTCTATCGCCTGCACGTGGCACAGCAATGTTTGTCCTAAAACATCCCTGTGAAGCATGCATGTATATTGGATACAAGTCCAAATTTGTTTTGTGAATGTACATGCTTGAGGGTGTGTGTGTGTGTGTGTGTGTGTGTGAGAGTGTGTGTGTGTGATGACAGTGCACGGGCATGTGGGTGTACAGCTGTAGCGATGACGTAACAAGCTGAAAGCTGATACATTTGGCCCCTCGGTGGAAGCAGTGGTGCTTGGAGCTGGGAGTTGACTGTCTCCGTCAGTAAGAAATCTGAATGAGGGGTTTCCAGCGGTGACGGATGGTAATGGCTGTCGCCCAGTTGCTATGGGCTGGTGGGGTGTGGGTGGGGGTTAAATAGGGGGTGGGGTGGTGACTGTGCAAACTCACCCTATCGGCTCAGCTACAGCACTCAGGCACGTCTACTGATGCCTCCCCCTCCTTCCCTGCATGCGCATACCCTGGTGTCATTTCTCCTTGAGGCATAGAGAAAGCCAAGTAACCCCCCCCTCCCCCCCCCCTTCTATCATCAACACACACTCCAGCACATGCACGCACACATGCACACTCTACACCGGCACTGCTGCAAGCATAAAGCAGGTTCTCCAACTGTCAAAACCTGAGCATTTGCCTCACATACAGTGAGAGTAATGATACACAGAAGACACCCACATGCACAGAGAATACAAGAAAACAGGCGAACACACACACAGACTCATACACACATCCACTCACATTCACACACACTGCATGCCCCCTACTCTGACTATAAACAAACTGGCATGCTCACCAAACCACAACCTGAGGTGTGGTCCTTCTCTCCACAAACACACACTCTTTCCCCTCTCTTCACTCTGCCAGAAAACGGGGCAGTCCGTTCCTAAGGGTGTGCACCAGCCTCATCCTTTGCTCTTACCTGTCCAAGATGTCATGGCTGGACGTGGCTGTGGCTCCCAGCAGTCCTAGTGCTGCACTCCCCACCGCTGCGGCAGCCCCGCTGCCTGCCTCCATGATACTGACTCACTGCAATGAGCAGCCTGCCAGAGAAGCAGAGAGGGAGGGGAGAGGAGGAGAAGGGAGGGAGGGAGAGAGGGAGAGAGGGAGGGGAGGAGGAGGATGTGAAGAGGTAGATCAGGAGGGAGAAATAGGAATGAGATAAAAGAAATCACATGTAGAAGCAAGAAGGAGAATGACGGGTAGAAAAAAGTGGAGAATAATGAGAGAGGAGACAGGTCTGTGAAAATTGTATGGTGAAAAGAGAAAATGATCGAGGAGATTGACATGGGAGCAGGATAAGAGAGCACAGGGAGAGAAAAATCATTAATTGTGTAGTCTGTAGATCAAATAAGTCATGCTGATGAAGCTTTGCAGAGCAGGATTTCACTTTAGCGTAAACACATGGAGATTCTGGCACACACACTCCTGTGTGAATTAACAGTCAAACACCAACATTGAATATCCTGTAGTGACTGCACTCTCTGAAGTCTCTATTTCAACCCAGAATATCAATGGCCAGATCAATTTTTTTCCCAGCCAATCCATGTTTTATTTAAAATGCATTTTTTTCCTATCTCCAACAGCACTATGTCCAGGCGCAGCTTTGATACAAAAATGTGTGTGTGTGTGTGTGTGTGTGTGTGTGTGTGGGGGTGGTGGTGGGGTCAAACACAAGTACTAACATAAAAGTAAAACAAGTATTCCCTTCAAGCACAAGCATGCAACTGCAGTGAGGTGTGCAAAATGAATGTAATTGTATGTTACAAGTTAAAAAGATGTATTGCACTGTGCCAGAAGTAAGACAGTATGTAACTGCAGTGTAATTGTAAGTCTAGTTAGCAAGTCCAGTAAGCCTCAGGCCTCTCAGTCCACTAATGTCCACTCTGCAACACAACGAGGATGAGTTCAACCGTTTTATGGCCGGCAGCAGGAATGATCTCCTCAGCAGCTCGGTGGAACACTTTGGGGATGGAAATCTTGGGCTGTATACTCTTCCCTTCTCAACAAGCATGTCAGGGATAGGGTGGGAGATATTCAGGATGCTAACTAACTTGGACAGCATCCTCGTCTCCATTGCCTCCTCCAGAGAGTCCAGCTCAACTCCTACTCCAATCACTAAGCCAAGATTTCTTTTTAGCCCTAACACTGTGTCCCCAGCACACAGCAGTGTAAAGGACAGCGCTGGCCATCACAGATTGGTAGAACATCTGCAACATCTTGTTAAAGCCTCAGAAGGAAGTAGAGCCAGCTCTGGCCTTTTCTTGTACAGGGCCTCTGTGGTCCCAGTCCTCTCCAGCCTGTCATCCAGCCGAGCACTCATACCCATTTGCCACCACAATTAGTGTGTATACAGGGGTTTTTTTAAACACTGGAGAGTCTGCTTAAAATCAGATATAGAGTCCTTCCCCATTGCCAGGTGACCAGAGCTGTGCATATGGCTCTGCAACAGAAGAGCACGCTTCCCTTTTTTTTTAGTTGGTGTGTGACGTTCAATGTCATCAAACAAAAAACAGGTTAGTCAACAGCAGAAAGCAGCATGGAGGCCAGTGGAAATTCAGGTGGTTACTTCTTTTTCATATCTCTTACTTATTCAGTCTTCCTCTCTCTCTCTCTCAAACTCCATGCAGACTACTTTGGAACAATGTTTGAGAGCTGCTTGGACAGAGACAGATGGTGTTTTGTGGTGGTGTGTCATTGCATCTTGCTGGCAAAGGGGCCAAAATTTGTGTGCTCACCCAGATGTTGTATTTCCATCACTTCCGATCTGAGGTGGAGCCGACAAATACCCCTGACTACTTAAGGAGTCATTTCACCAGGTGTGAATTTCAACTGTTCCCATTACAAACAAAAGTCAGACTTTAGCTGGTGTTAGTGGGGTTTTTTTGCAGTAGGATAGGGGATATATTGTTTTCCCAGTATGGGGATATTTCCCCCCACTGTTTGTCTTCGAGTTAGCTACTAACCCCTAGTAGCTACTTTTAAAATCTCCCACAATGGATCTCACACATAACACGTAGTTAAAATGTCACAACCATCTCATCCATAATCCCGTCCTGCCAGCTGTCCCTTTTACATCAACATCATTTCGGCATTGTTACTACCTCCTGTGCCAACTCAAAGGCTGAACAACTCTGTCCGCCATTCTGAAATTGTACCTTTTATGAAGAACAGCAAAGCACCATAACTGTGTGAAATTCCAGCCTTGAAGAGGCAGTGTAAAAGGGACTATTCTCATGTTTGAAAAACATTTTTTTTATTTTTCATTTTTATAAAAAAAAATAAAAATAAAAAAAGTTATCAAAGTTTCTGCTGATTATTCATGATATAAACTTGTGTTTTCAGCTCTTAAGTGCATGTTTACCTGCTTAAAAAAGTTCTTAAGTAATTTAGAGTTTTCTCCCAGACTCTGGTATAAATCAGTTAACACAAGAGGAGATTTCAACCAACTGGGCGACCAGTTATTATCACTCCTTATGTTATTATTCATCATCAGTCTTTGTATGCACACTACTTTTCACACAGTCTGTGCATTGCTATCTGTTGTTTAAGACTGTGATTAAGGTTAGTTTGGGACTATCAAGAGTGCTCATCTCCTAACCACTGAATCGTCAATGGACCTATAATCACAGCAGAGAACGCCCTCTTGGGTATTATTGCTATAATATGACCCACCACATGACAACCTCCCAATCAAATCCAAATGTGACGTTGTCAGCAGACGGAAATAGACGACAGGAACACAGCAGGAATGACCCAATAAAACAGGGGAGGAGAGAAAGGTCCATACAGCTTGTTTTTCTGTGGTAGTCAATGGTTATGCACTGTAATCCCAGGAGGATGACGCCAAGAGGAGAGAGATGGAAGGAAGGTGGGAGGGGGCGCAGGAGGAGAAAGCGTGGGAGGAGAGGATCCTCACAGGCCGCACTGAAGCAGCTGGTTCTACATCTGACAAAGACTTGCTGGGCATACATAATCCCAGGAGCTCTGTTTGCTGTGCAGTTTAGAAGAAACACCATATACATACTATCTATAACAGATGCCGTCAATAAAAAATATCAATTCTAAAAGCTGACCCTTTTTTCTTTTACTTTAACAGGAATTCCTCTAAAATGCTTAAGTTTAAGAAACATTTGTAATTCTAAGAGATTCAGGGATATTTGTTCTAAAAATAACAAGGCGACAGTATGAATCATGAGTGACTAAGCCTCCCTCTGGACCAATAAGAAACTAATGCACCACCTTGTATTGACCTGTGATTGTCCATGGAATAAGAACATTCTAACAACCTGGCTGCCTGTGAGTCTGGGTGGAAAGATTATCAACTCCTGTGGTTCTGTAGGTGCTCATCAAGTTCAGCTATTTAAACCAACACAGTATTGACCACACAACTACAGCACATGATGATATCGACTGTTATGTACAAGTGAGTGGTGTGACATGAGCATGAAGGCAGGGTAAGCTGTGGACACAGGATGTTAAAATTCACATCATGTCCTGGGCTACTGTAAACTCCTGCTTTTTAATCAGCCATAAACAGCTCCCAAGTCACACAGGAAGGACATGAGCTGGAGCCATCTGACATTAAGTGAATGTTTTCGTGTGGTATATGTGCATATGCTGTAGGCGTGGAAACAAACATCTCTGTTATTATTGTGTGTAGAGGGAATTAAATGTGTGCATTAATGTAGAGAGGAAGTGAGTTTGTGTATGCCAGGCAGGCAGGGCAAAGCAGGCTGAGCTTCCCACAAGTACCTGATGCAGCAGAAAAGCCATAAAATGGCCGACCTTGAGAGAGGACAGAGCCTGAGTTTCGAGGAGATATGAGATTAAAAAGCGAGGCTGAACAGTCTCTACACAGAAAACATCACCAGAATGGCAGCATTACTGATGGCAAAGTTCTTATTAGAATCTAAGTGCATGTCTTACCACAGGTTTGAGTCAGGAAGTGTTAAACTTGTCCTACTTAACAGTGTATGATGCAGCCATTATAAGTTTATTACAGCCTAACGCTAAGCTTTATATAGCTCAACACTTAATACTTTAGTGGGCAGCAGTAGCTCAGTTCCAGGGGACTTGGCTTGGGAACAGGAGGGTCATTGATTGAAGTCACCCGTACAGACCAATAATAGAGTGTGGACTGGCAGCTGGAGAGGTGCCAGGCTCCTTCCTCAGCATTGCTGAAGTACCCATGAGCAAAGCACTGAACACCCAAACTGCTCCAAGGGCACCATACTATGGCTGTCCCTGTGCTATGAACCCTTCAGAATGCATGTATGTGATGTGTGTAAAAGGAGGGATATGTGAATAAATAATTTTCAACTGGCTGTCTTGTGTGAATCTGCCTTGAATACTCTTACACATAGCCAGGAGGACTACTCTCAAATTTTGGATCTCTAAGGACATTTAGTCGACATTTTAGTTGAAAAAATTAAAGTACTAATACTTGACTACAACTAATTTACATTTTTGTCAAAAGACTAAAACTGAATCATAATGAAGTGCCAAAATGAACATTGCATATGTACCAACATAAGAGTGTATATCCCATGAAGTCTGTGTTTTACTTGAAGTTTCTGTATCAGATTGTACTGCTGTTTTCTCTCCCAGCAGATTCCACCTCATGCTAAACTCCTTGAAAACAGAGCAGCTCTGATGTACCAGCGAGCCATGTAAATGCACACAGTTCTCTCTACATGTAATCAATACTAGAGGGGCAAAGTTCACTCTCATGACCTCTTCTGGTTTACAACATTGCAGTTACCATTTAAAGAGAAAATACAGACATAAATGCTTTAATAAGGCCTAATGTATGCAATGATTTTTTTATCATCATCTTTGGTCTAATTCCCTAATGACATAGGCAAAGCAGTTTGAGACTGAGACATGTCACCGCCAAACAACAGATGGTGTGTGATAAGGGTTAGTGACCTTTCTTAATTCCTGCTGTCATTACTAGCAGTCTAATTGTAGGCATACTCTGAATGCTCGGCCCTCTATTGCTAGTGGTCAAATTATAGCTATTAGTGATCAGCCAGTGACA